CCCCAGAGCATGTTTTTACTGAAGATTAGCAGACTTTGTACACACATGTAACCCACAGACACCTACAAAAAAATGTCTTGGAGCTGTGGTGCAAACCTCACAGGAAGTCGGCCATTTTGAATCAAAGCCACATGGCTTTTTTTTTTTTTTTTTACTCGACTCATATCGAAGTGAACTAGAGCTTTTCAGTTAAATGCTAATAATTCTAATTGACTGAAGATAAATTAATCATTGATTGAAAGTAATTTAGAAATTTATTACATTTAGAAATCTATTACATAGTAGAATAAACAATTAAACATAGAATGATTGAATTTCTAAGTTGGTCTTTTTGCAGATTAAAGTAGATTGTAGTTTAATTTATTGCAATATTTAATATTCTGCTTACCTCCTCAACTCAAGAACAAATGCACTTATTTTAAGAAAAAAATTCTTATCTAGATTTCTCCAGTGTAGGGATTAGATTAGATTAGATTAGATTAGATTAGATTAGATGAGCTTTATTGATCTCACAGTGGAGAAATTCACTGGTCACATATTGGCATAGTACCGGTAATTAAAGAAGGTGCAAACAAGGAGGAAAAGGTGCTTTAGGAATAAAAAAAATATAAGGGATTAACACAGAGATTTGAGGTGAAATCTACAATCAGGATGGCTTGTATAGGGATTAGTTTATGCAGGGATTATAAAGTGGAGCTGGATAAGATGTTATGGTTTCTGGGCTGATTAAACACGTGAAACTTAAAAATAATCCCAGTAATAGATTGACTTGACATTTCAGCCATTTTATAATCGTGTATCGCTTCATTTGGTGCTTGCTTTGCTTTTTTTCCCTAGTAAATAATTATTTTCCTTTACTTCAGAATCAGAAGGCTTAAGAGGGAAATGTACATGTTTATGTATATCTTTTTATCTCCCCACATCAAAAATGTTCTTTGATGATTCAAACTATTATTATTTACTTCTTTTTTATACCTTAGTTTCGTTTCTGCTGCTAAACTTTTCAAATTGATGTTTGAGCCTCCAAGGTCAGGGCCCTGCTGATGAACTGAAACATGCTCAGACTGAGATAGTAAGAACTGCTTTTCACTGTTAAAGTTTGTAACAAGGCGTCGAAACTGAAACGATTTTGCATCTGACTTCTAAAGAGCCAAAAACAGCTGATTACAAACATCCATGTGAGAAAACGAACCTGGACTGTCCCACAGCAGCCTTCCTGCTCAGCAGTGCTGTGGTATTCAGTGGACTGCAGAGAATCATGAGGGCAGAAGCACGAGGAACTGAGCGCTGTCGCTCACTTCCTGTTCTCCATGATGGGCCCGGTTTCACTGCCGCAGGCCTCTATCAACAACGAAACCAAGTCCTGAAGATGCAGCTTCATTTGAGATTTGTTAAAATGACAGAAGATAGAAAACAAATGACACTAAATCCAGTTCATTTATATATATATTTTTGTCTGCAGAACTATTAAATTCTGATTAATTTAGTTTATCCAGCTGATAAATGAGTTTTCATTGGCGTAATCCTCCTCCATTTAAAAGCCATATAAAAATCTCCAGTTATTTATGAGCTCTGATCTTCTTGATAAGGATGTTCTTGATAAGCTGACGCTCTCATTTTCTCTCCTTGTTAATATTTAACAAATCATCCAGTTAAAACCAGATATTCTTTGTTTGGCATCAAAGAAAATCAGCCAAGATATCAGGAAGAGAGCCTTAACAAGTCTGGTTCATCCTGGGATAAATGACCCCAAGGGCACAGCTGGTATTAAACATTTTTATAGGACTGTTACCAGGGGGGGATTTACCATTAGGCAATACTAAGGCAGTTGCCTAGGGCCCCAAGTTCCTGGGGGCCCCATAAAACTCTGTTTACATGTATAGTTAATACAACTATTCCTTATTTGTGCACATTAATTATGTTTTTGATAAAAATCCTTTGGCTAAAATGCCATCAGAACGCTGATAAATAGAGAGGAAAAAGGGACAAGAAGAGAGGGACAAAACCTAGAACAAATAATGGATGTCTATTCTATTAACATTTCTCTATCTGTAGAATGGGTCTGTTTTATGGGTTTTCTTCTCAGGGGGCCCCCTGCCTGTCTTTGCCTAGGGCCCCAAATTTCCTAAATCCGCCCCTGACTGTTACATAGATACTATAATAAACGCTGGATCTCAGTCTTATCGAAAACCTTTCCCAGTTACACCACGTCTGGTGGAATGGGCCAAAATCCCTGCAAATTACTCTGTGGAGCTTAAGGAGGGAAACCAAAGACATTTAATCCAAATTATTGTTTTTAAAAAGCAATTCTACTTGATCATGGAAATTAAGAGAAACTTCCTGGTTATAAGGAAACAAAATATAGTTTTCTGTATTTAGCAGAAATAATTTAGTCAATCAAACTGAGTTTCTATATTATAGGAAAACAAGTGGTTTCAGCTGTATGTCTTAACCCTGTAATGCCAAATGTATCATATTTGATACATACGGTTTCTGAAATGTTTTGCGTCTGACACCTTTTGCATAATTTATTGGTAAAAACTTTGCTCAAAATCCTATTGTACACAATCAGATATACCTGATAACAGAGGGCAGAAGACTACACAAAAAATAATCTTGACTTATCGCATGGTAATAAATTATTAATATCAAAAATGTATTTCTGTTTTTTCTTTTTACATGTTTTGTTAAAAGGCCAAATAAGGACTTCAAACCAAAAAAAAGTAATTTTCTGTTTTGTTTTATTCTTGGATCGGGCTTTAAAGGGTTAATAGATAAAGAAGATCTGCTTCTTAGGAAAAACAGAGATCAAGGTTCTCCTTTGACGTATAATAGTGTATAATCAGTGGAGACGATGTCCTTGTCCTGGGAAACAATGTTTGCTTTGTTAGATGTGGCTGCAGTTGGTTCAGGAAGCTTCAAGTTGGAGGTAGGTTAATGTTTTTACTGAAAGCTGGTTAATTATCCCTATAAAGAGCTTTTAGAGTGCAGTTTTCTTCCAGAAGGATCTCCAGTTATAATAAAACCACTTAATGTTGTGTAGGTTTTACATGACATGAACTTTGACTCCATTATCAGTCAAGATGAAGTCACGTTCTGGTTAACTATTTTGACCCTGAAAGAAGGACAAGATGTACAGGAATATGTTTCAGAGGATTTTAACGGATTCCTTTGAACTAAAATCTGGGAGTTGAATCTAACTAAATTGAATTAGTATTAATATCGAAGTAAAAGGCAAACAGCATGTTTATAAAAAGATCTGATGAAAATATATAAATTGATCAGGATTTTTTTTTTTTAACATAAGAAAATTCCACTTTGAATTTTTGCTGAGTCGTGTTTTAAAAAGAACCTGAGCTTCCAGAGATGAAATAAGTCATTAGTCCTTTATCTTTATGGTCCTATCTTTGCAACAATTAAAGCTGTTCTGGTTTATAACAGTCTGGTCTCTGTTTAAAGAAAGTCTATACAAAAAAAAAAAAACAGGAAGGCATTTGTCCTTTAATTTAGACATTATGCGGTGAACAAGTTGATGATATACATTTTTAACTGTTCACATCACACATTTATAGACAAGTCATTTGCTTAATTTGCAAGAGTGTGTCGACAAGTCTGAACTAAAATCTAAAAGTTTATTGCTGAGTAGGTTTGCACTCTCAAGGAATTTGACTGGATGTTTATGATGCAGATAAAATAGATATATACAGAATCTATACCATATACGATATAAAACATACAACATACTATCAGTGTTTGTTCCATGTTTGATGCTAAGCAAACTGTCTATGCTGATTTTAAAGAACTCTTAGCATTAGACAGCTAAGCTGCTAACTGTAAAACCTTTGTGATAAATGTGAAGAAATTAAAATATATTACATCACATAAAGTTACTAAACATTTGGAAGTGATGATTTTTAGCACCACCCCGCCTCTCGCCTGTGGACAGCTGGAGATGGGCACCAGCTCCCCTCGCGACCCCACTGGGGATTAAGCGTGTAAAAAATGGATGGATTTTTAGCACCTGGTTATGATTAAAGCGCAGGAGATTTTTACCTTAACTGTTTTATTAACCTCAAATTAATTTATTTTCTGTTGTTGAAATGTAATAATTACCCTTGGGAAGAATTTTACCTTTAATTGACTTCGATTTTGTCATTTTGTATACACAAGTGTAAACAAAAATAAATTTTGTTAAGAACAGCTCTCTAGACCACGGGTCTTCATCGTTCTCCAGGCCAAGGACCCTCAAACTGATGGTGAGATGGAGCGGGGACCCCCTAATTATATATATATTGTATGAAATTTTATTATATCAAACTGGTCCTATAGTCACTCTATTACTGATGGAGTAATGTAACGAAAGTGATTTCGGCCTCGGATTATTAAAGTATTTCTGATTCTGATGGGACAGGTGTTGTGAATGAAATGGTGCCCAGATTGAAAGAGCTCCTGTGTGTCGCTGAATGTGTGCATTGATGACTGAAAGACATCTTCTGCCTCCATTTATCTGTTTACTAAAGTGTGTTGAATTCATGTTAATGTGTATTTAAAGACATTTCAATTAGTGCAATATATAAAAAAAAAAAAAAAGTCTCAACAAAAACTTTTGCGACCCCCATTTAGTACCTCCATGGACCCCCTAGGGGTCGCGGACCCCCTGTTGAAGACCCCTGCTCTAGACCATTTCATTTTATAAAGTGCAGCCTTGATAAGGTTAGCAGCAGTGATAACATTGTTTTGAATACAGTAATGTAAACATGACTGTATAGTTACAGTTCTAATTTATTTTGTTTAAATATGGGTGGTGTTTTGCAGTTTTGCTCTCAAACTGCAGTGTTAGCATTTGTAAGTTTAGCTTCCTGTCCTTTATGACCGTTTCAGGGTTTGCCTGGTAGTTAAACTTATTTAACCAAAGTCTATCAGAGTTGATCTAATAAAGAGTAGTTGTGTTAACTGGATCCTAGAGTCCCCCCCCCCCCTTATGACTAAAAGGACACATCTTGTTTTTCCAGTGCTTGTTTTATTGATCTTAAACCAAAAATAAGAAATGCTGGCTAACAATAGACTAGGATGAACCTAAGTCAGAGTGACATATGTAAACTAAATGATGCAAAGTACAAAAAAAAACTAAAAACACATTTAGATATATTTCCCTATTTAGAAGCTGAACTTGTAACTGCGAGCTCTGGAGAGGAAAGTAGAGATATTTCAGTTATAGTCTCAGGTTTGCTCCTCTCTCTCTTCAGCTCTGCTGGACCTCCAGTCATTCCTCAGCCGGGGTGGCCATCTTGACCAGGCTGTCCTTGTCGAACCTGAAGAGCCTCCAGCCCTCCTCCTGGGAGAGGTCCTCGGCGCCACGCCGCTTGTAGAACTGGACGGACGGCTCGTTGTTCTCTGCCACGACGAACATCATGCCAGTGCAGCGCGTCTTCATCGCCAGCTGAAGGAGGATAAAACGGGGAGATCAGCACCTTTACGCTTTCCTTAGCAATCTTTCAACATCCTAAAGATGCTGATAAAAAATAGTTTCCTGAAAATAAGACAAGGTTTAGTGTTCGGATACTTACATCACTGAGGTGGCGCAGAATCCCCGAACCGATGCCGAGCCCTAAAGAGCACAGAAATGGGGTTAAAAACACATCCCATCATTTCAGATAGATTAATGGATACAGAATGATTTCCTGACCTCTGCACTTGTCCATTACATAGAACTCCTCCAGGTAGAGCTGTTTGCCAACCCAGGGGTCATAAGTAAAGTAGTACATGGCAAAGCCCACCACGTTCAAGTCTGTAGAGGGTGATAATAAGAAAGAAATGGGTGCTTAGTCTGTGCATTTAGAGGCTCAAATATATGACTTTATTTGGTATCAAGACTATTTCAAACTAAAAACAAACGCATGCGTCTGCACCTGCATGCTGAACATTTACATATTACTTATGCAACCAAAACAATGGAAATGTTCTCCTCCCTGCTCAGAGGTGTTGACATTTGACCTACTTCTCACTGTGCTGATACCATGGAAACTTTGCTCCATGTTTCCAAAAATCCCTGCTCTAATCTCACGCTGAGAATTTCTTCAGCACACGCAGCGCTTTAGAACATCTAACAGTTTACATAAGGCTGAACACCTGCAGCTTTATGTTGCTTCCACTCATGTAAAAAACAGGAAGCAGAGCCTGTGACGCCCGAAGGCAGAACACGGGTGGCGTGAGCAGATGGTGAGAAACTCAGCCGGCTCATTGGGTGCAGATAAAGCCCTTAAGGGATAAAGAATGACACGGGAAGGGAAGGCTGCTCCTCCACAGGTTTTATTCTTTAAGACGCAAGACTGATTCGTACCTTCGCCGCCATTCTCTCCTTGGGTTTCAGCGATGATGCAATGGTAAAACGGGGTTTCACCAAACCCATCCTCCAGGAGGTCTGAAAGAAAGTGCAAGTTTTAACCAAACGAGTAAGAGTTGTATGCAAACATCCAGACTGAAAGTTTAACGTGACGCTCACCCTTTTCCGTCAGCGTAACCTGGCTCTCCATCTCTTCATATTTTGCGAGCTCCTAAGATGACGAAGAAAAGGAAAGTTGTAGTTGATCGTTAGCTGATAATAACAATAAGAAAGTAGTCAAACTATATCAGCATATGTTTATTTACAAGAGGCAAACGGAGGGTTAATATGAAACTTGTTCTTCCACATAAAAATTTATAATAGTTGGAGATTTGAAATAGTAGCAGTTACATTAAAAAGCAGACATATTTACACACATATTGCTTCTTCCTCATCAGTTATCTGCTTACATCAGGCTCCTCCACTTCCGCCTAATTCTACAGTTTGCCTCTCTATACATGAACAGCTGGTCGGCTCTGTTTGACTTATATCTTTATTATGGATTTTATTAATCATTTCTATTTCATCATTTTGTGTATTCTATAATTTTAGATCCATATTCTTTATGCATTTTCTGCAATCAAAAGGGCTACGTCTAACTATTCTGTCTAAACTTGCGCTTCAAAAATGATATTTTCAAAGTTATATTTCACTTTTTCTAATTAAAACAATTCAATAACAGTTTTTTAATAGATAGTTAACTGTATCATTCATGGTTTCTTGTTTATAATCGATAAAATTTATTATTTCCAGCCTTCAACATATAATTGAACGTCCTCTATTCAAATTAAACATTATTATAACATTGTAATAATAGAATGTGTCTGAAAATAAACATGTTTATATCCGTGTACTTTGAACCTTTTACCCAGAGTGCATCTGTACCCACATCAAAAGTACTTCATGTTCCACTTGCTATAATAACTTTAATGTTAGTGAGATTTAGTTGCCTTTAAAGTTAGGGTGATTAGCCAACAGTGCTATGTTATTATTGTGAGGGTGGGTTAGTTATTAAGGTGAGGTCGGTAGTTAAAAGGCTCGGAAACAAGGTCAGCTTCGGTAAGAACAGAAGCTCGGCGAGCAGGCGGAAAGCCCATATTTGGAGAACCGGAAGTCAGGGCGGTTATGAGTCGTGGCTCAGGCAGCTCTGACCTCATTCTCAGGACATCATTCAGACAATGTATGTCAGTGTATTTAAACCTACAAACATCGTTATTTTTTTTATCTGAAAACATTTAGATGAAACAAAAAATGTCTGCTGTTAACAGCGGCCGTTGTCTCCTACCTTCACCAGTCGTAATATATCTGGCACGTCCTTGGGCTCAGCTTTTCGTAATTTATAATCCATTTTCTTCTTTTACTCTTTTTTCCTTTCGTTAGAAGACCTCTGTATGTGAAGTGGAAGATCAGGTGTTTCTTCATTCGCTTCGCAGTGGCTTTTCCCCCACAGTCAGCCTCTGGTCAGGACGCGTTCGTCGACACAAGCTCATCCAGCTCCCGGTGGCCCCTTTCTGGGTCGCTGCTGTTCTACTGCGCTTCCTTTGTTTACGCCGGTTTTTATACCCGGCTCGCACTCGACTCCTATTGGCCAGTTCACACCGCTCTCAGATTTCTGACGAATCAGCGACCTCCTTTCGGAAGTCAAGGTTCTGTTCATCCTATCAGCATAAACAAGGAAAACTGGAGGCCAAAAAGTTTTATTTTTGTTGTGACGCTTTAGAAAAAAAACTTTATAAGTATTTTATTCTTTACATCATGATTTTTTTTTTCAGAATTCTATTTGAAATGTTGATGGATACACTATAATTAGAACATATTTAGACTTGAAGTGAATATATAACTTCATAAAGGGTTCATTATTTCCCCCAGATGATTTTTAATGAAATCAAAAGACCCCCACGCCCCAGACTCACATTAGAGAGTTACTGTCCACACTATAGCAACCAATATCAACATCAGTAACATATGTGGAATTTTCCATCCTTCCCTTAAGTTAGGGTTGTAATTATACACCCCACTCACACTGCAATGGTTTTGATAATTCATGAACACAATTGGCGGTTAGGAGTTAATATGTAACCTGAGGAGTTTCTAGTGTTTTCTGTTATACAGTGTTGTCTTTGAAATCCTGCAAGATCACTGGTGAAATGATGGATGGATGAATGGATGGCTGGACGGACGGACGGACAGACAGACAGACAGATAATTTTCTAATACTTCGGTTAACTCTTCATTATTTTAGATACCCAGAAAACCAGAACTGAATGGGACACGACGCAGAATTCAATGAAATTTAAAAAAAAACTTGAACTCCAAGTGTACTCTCAAAGAGTAAAAATGGTAGTTAAAGTGAGAAAATGTAAACTTTAGAATACTGCCTATTGATGCTGTGATAGGCATATATATACACATATTAGAGTATTTGCCCAATTTTTGGTAATCGGTTAATATATTTAATATAGTTGGTGTTTATTTTCCAAATTGAAATGTTTGATGATCAGAAAGTATTTCTATGTAATCATTGTCAGTTTGATTTTGACAGTTATTGATGGTTGTTCCAAGTGGGTCAAGTGAACCACTGAATGAAACAGTTCTAGTTTTTAAGCATAGTGAAGATTAGGGAGAACGGGGGGTGCTGGGTTAGTGGTTAGAGCAGTGTGCTTGTGCTCTGAGAAGGTTGCAGGTACCCGGTTTGATCCCCACTGCCTCCACTCTGGGTTCCAGAACAAGACCCTTAACTCGACACTGCTACCTGGGCACCACACAATGGCAGCCCACTGCTCCCCAAGGGGATGGGTTAAATGCAGAGGTAAATTTCTCAAATGGGACATCAACAAAGTTCAATTATTATATCAGCGTTTCCCAACCTTTTTTCCCCTTGTGTTCCCCTTTGGGCATTTTGTCCTACCATGAGTTCCCCTCTCAGTCAAAAGTATTGATTATTGTCCAAAAGTGGAACGTACAATAGCTGAGTATAGAAGAAAGACAATTTTTATCTTTTAATTTGAGCATTTAATTCTTTGGCATTTTATTCCTTCCATCTCAAATAAAAACAACATAAATATGTTGCCTGGAAGTTGGTAAGAAATCACACTAAATACAAAATAAATTCATATTATAAACCAGTATTTATAAGACTCTAGCTCCTTTGAGTAAGTCACCTATGATCACATTCAGGTCTGAAACAATTAATCAGATTAATCAAAATGATTATTGAAAGAATCGTCAAATAATTTGGTAATCAATTGATCGTTAACTGGAGTATAGAGACTGTAAAACATGACTTTAGCTGACCCACTTAGAGCAGCAATTATACCAAGATTGTAAACAATTATATAGCCAATTTGCATTAAAGATAAAAAAAAATGTGTCTGTCAATATGCTCTATATGCTCTCTGATACCAGGCTGTTCTCTACATCCAGTCTGCTCCTCTGCTTGGTTTTGATGTGTATCGAAGATGAACTCAAACATATAAGTCAGTGGGGATGTAGCTTAGTGGCGCAGCGCATGCTTTGCATGTTTGAGGCCTCAGGTTCACTCCCTGGCATCTCCACAGGTTTTAGTGGGAGAGTGTTGGCCTAGTGCTTAGTGCATAGAGTCTGATGTCCTGAGGTGAGTTTGAAATCCACTCCCACAGACTGCCACTCTGGGTCCCTGAGCAAAGACCCTTAACCCCACACTGCTCCCCGGGCGCCGCACAGCGACAGCCCACTGCTCCTCAAGGAGATGGGTTTAATGCAGAGAGTGAATTTCCCCATTGTGGGAATATAAAGGGATTTACATATAAGAAAAACTTAGCTTTTGGTTGTTAAAAGCGTGTTTAATTTTTCAATTGGGTCCCCACAAAGCAAAACAGAGCCCAGCCCTATTTTATTTTATTCTAAAATATTTACTCGTAGCCCTTGAAATGCAGTCGCGGACCACTAGGGGTACAAGTCATCCCGGTTATAATTCACTGGAAGGTTGGTTTCTTCCAGATACCTTGCAGACCTTACTCAGGGCGCAGACACCCTTTCTTTCTCGGCAGGGCGTCTGTGGGACAGCGTGGTGACGTAGGAACCCGGAAACTCGTCACTTTGGCAGCGCTGCGTCCTCCAGAGAAGATTTCTGCTTGCTGTGGTGTTTTTGTTCAGTTTTCTCGTTTCATCCGGATCCTGGACGCTTTGCTCTGCGAGCTCAGACTTCAGCATGCTCTCAGTCAGGTGGGTGGGGGTTAAAACCTGGATTTAATGCTTAAAAACTTTACAAAAATGACTGAGTGAGTCTTTGGGTTTGGTGCAGATTTCTAAACTGATAGTATCAGATATCCGTCCTCAGAATTATGGCTTTAATGATGAAATGTATTTCTCTAATGAAGGAGTCAGCCCAGCCCTGTGTGCCCACAGAGGGTGTGTCTCTTTCATTCTGACTCATTTGGAGCAGTTTAAACAAACCACAATGGAAACGCTGACTGCACACAGTGTTCAAATGCAGACAAGTTATTCTAGAAAGACAACATCTTTCTGAACATGAAATCATGTCAGGAAATCTGTTGTCCATATGGCATTTTTCTCCTATTGTGCTACAATTATTGTAAAGGTTATTTCCACTCAAACCCTTCTAAAGGTACCAAAAACAGATGGACTTTCTGCTATGCTTCATAACTAAAAGCTGCTTCTCCATGTTTACTTCTGGTTCTCGGGATATAAAGTAGGCTGGAACTAGGGCTGGGCCATTCATCCATTTATTGATTTCTTTCTTTATTCTGTTTATGCAGAATAAACAGAATAAAGCTTTGGGCTTCCAAAGCTCAGGGTTACATCAGTAGGTCACTTTTTATTCTTAGATGTGTACTAATAACTGATCAACTGGTTCACAGTGTGACACCACGATTTTTAAATATTATTTCAGCTTAATATGTGGAAAAAAGCCAGAATTCTGACTTTTTCATAAATATATATATATATATATATATATATATATATATATATATATATATATATATATATATATATATATATATTTCTTTCTTTTTTTAATTGTGGTATGTTGTATATCTATAAATATGTTATATGTATACTGGAGCGTGTAACGAAGAAATTAAAGTATTTCTGATTCTGATTCAGAGTTTAAACTACATCTCACTTTAACTGAGAGAAGAAGATCATAGAAACCAAACTGATCAAATGTTCCATCAACCTTTCCTACAGTTTTATTCACTTTTCACAAGGAAGCGACAGAAGTTTCCACTGCTTGGATGGAGCATAAAACAACAGCCCTTCCCGTAGTGGCTGCTGCTCACTGCCTGTGAGCTGGCTGAAAAAGGCCTTCTGCCCTTTTCTTTCTGTTACTACAAAGTCCATTTCAGCTGTCTGTAAATATATCTAGTCCCAAAACAGAAAAGTGATGTGGAAATTAAAGTTTATTGCCTCCATAGTGTTTTTAACTGCAGCTGCAAAGCTAAGAGGCTCTTAAATAGAGCAAATATGCAAACCTAGCAGCCGGTAATATTAGCCTTTTGGACTATTCAGTTAATTTATTAAGAGCAGAATGACAAAAACAATTATGTTGATATGCAGAGAAACCTGTTCCAAACTATTTATTCTACTTTTTAAGGTCACATATTGAGGTCAGAATTGCAGCAAATAAATAATTTAACTGTGAAATACATGTTTATGACTCCTATGTCGACTGAAAGGTCTGGACAGACCAAGAACTTTAAGGAGGGACCAAATATCGCTTCTATGCGGGGAACATCCCAGACCGGTTCTGTGAATATTTAGGCTGAATGAATGGATGTGAATGCAGCTAAATACAGAGAGATGTCTCCCAGTTAATTGTTCTTTGTTTTTTTGGTCCAGGTTCCTGTCCCTGAGGTCTGCCTCTTCCCTGAGCAGCAGGTCGCTCTGCATAGCTGCAGCCACTAATCATGGGAAGGCCCCCGACATGGCAGAGGGTGAGTCAGTCCTGATCCACCTCAGGGATGCCTGTTTGACTCGGTTCACTAAAGAACTGTTGAACATGCTAAACAAGGACAATCGTCAGCGTGCCTGCTGCTGCTGCACTGTTTTCATTCTCTAGGATCAATTTCAGATTGATAAAATTGTCTGTTTTAATCATTTTTATATATTTATTTTCAGTCATTCAATGCAAACAATGATGGGCAGGAAGTAAAAAGGTTTTACAAACATGCATATGGGCGACCATTTATATCAAATATATTTAAATGAAAATATCAGATTATAATTTGAATATTTTCATAGAATTTTTTATATACACCGATGAATATTTGTTTAGAACAAATAATTTAATGTGAAAAATTATCCAAATTAGATTTAACTGTGATACAATTGCATTATATTCTAGTGGTGTTTTTTAATCTCATATTTCCAGAGCTGCAGCCTATAGTGACATTATTATTATTACAATTACGCATTAGCATCTGATTAGTTAATGAGCAGAGAAACTCACCTGCAGATGAGTCACATTATCTCAAAAATCCAACTAAAAGATGCAGAAGCATCAAAGGACAACAAGCTGCCTGTTCTGGTGCTGTTTGGTGAGCATGGAAGGAGATAGAAAGCTCAACATAGACTAATATCTTCTTTTTGACTATCACCTCCCACTGGAAAACAGACCTTTAGTCATCAGAACCTTATAACACCGGGCCGAGCATGTCCCTACTAAAACAGAAGGGAAGCACAAAGAACAGAAACACATCAAAGATGCTCTCCAGTCCTGTGGATACCCTGATTGGGCGTTTGTCAAATCAGCAAGGAAATCCAAAAGACACGCAGCAGAACATAACAGTGAGAAGATCAAACGCTAAAACATCCCAATTTCTTATGTTGCTGGAGACTCTGAGAAACTCAAGATGATTTTCTCCAAACACAAAATCCCAGTACATTTCAAACCTAGCAAGACCCTTAAACATAGACTGATGCATCCTAAAGATAAAACCCTAGACTGAATATGAGCGGAGTGGTATATGCTGTGAGGAATACTTTGATCTTTATATTGGAGAAACCAATCAACCTCTCCACAGACTCATGGCCCAACACAGAGGAGCGACCTCCTCCAAACAAGACTGCTGTTCACCTACACCTTATGGACAAAGGACATTTGAGGACCAGAATGTTCACATTTTAGATCAAGTATACAGGTGGTTTGAAAGCGGCGTGAAGGAACAGAGGGGGTGGACTCAGGTTCCAGCTCTCAAAAACCTGTAATGCAGCGATACAGTTGATTCCTTCCAGCTACCATCTCAACCCCCATCGCTCTGCTAATAATCTCACCAGGTCAGCCAGGCCAACAATGACCCTTAACGACTGCCTTTTAGGAGGAATGGGCCACCATCGGGTACTGCAGGCCAATAACGACCTCAATGACTCCCATTATCAAAGGGTGCAGCGGGTTTTCCACTTTCAATCTGCATGTTTTCAAAGCCATAAGCAGGCTTTTGTTGGGCTACTCTATAAAGGCCTGGAACTCAACGCTAATCCTGACATGAATAAGAAAGCTTCCTGAATTGGAAGCGAAACGTCTTTAAACTCAGAAAACAAAGTCCTGTGGTTTCTTTTCAACTTTAACTTTTTGAAATCTAAACAAATAAAATCCAGGCTATCATATATCGCTCTGCAAACACACGCCCTGCTGGCTGTGTGTCAGGACAACAGATCAAAGGGGGAATCAGGCCCAAATCAAGGTTAAACAAACTCTGTCCTTGTATAAAATAAGTTTATCACAACTTCCATTCCAAATGTATTATATTATATAATATTCTTAGCTTAATAAACAAAAGCTAACAACATGTCAGCATGACGTTACGTATGGTCGCCATTAGCTTGCACCACAGTAAAATATCAAAAACCCAACTGTTTAGCTGCAAACTCTCCCTAAATGTGACAGACTAATGTTATCTGTTCTCAGATGCTCCTCTCATCCAGTCTCTGGTATCTCAACGTTTCCTTTAAACTCAGCGAGAAATATTAGATAACAGTCTGTTTTTGCATCAATTAGGTGCAGAAATTAGCCACCAGGTCCTCCTAGTCTGCAGGTTCTGGTCCTTGGCTTGAGTTTCTTTCCATCATGGTGTCTCCATGGTGTGAACCTCAGAGGAAATTCATGGCATAGAGAATGAGAGTCTGAGACGAGTCCCTTGTCCCAAAGCATGGCGGGGGAAGGATTACCTGTCCCTGTGGGAGTGTCTTATTAGGGGGATGTTGCAGGAGTTTTATCAATGTTGATATCAGCATGGCCATTGGTCCCTCATGTCCAAAATAAAAGCATGGTTTATGGCGTAACAGTTGCCTCCTTTACATCCTACTGTGATATCCACCTTAAGCTGTAGATTCTTACCCTAAACTCAAGTTTAGTTTTTGTCTGTAGTTTATTGATGAATTTCTGCTCAGCCTGTAAATTTGAATCTTGTTTTCGTTGCAGGAAATCCACTTTTACACGTTTCAAATGGTAATTCTTAAGCAATCTTAACTACCTGAACCTCAGATGTTCAGGTCTCTTTAATTTTCCCCTAATTCCACCTGCATGTTTTCTTTTCTTCCACTTTCCTGAAGCTGACCTCATTTCAGGGCTCCTTTTTCACACAGTGTCTCTTTACCTGGAAGATGTAATCCTTCCTTTTGCAGCAGTTAACTTCCTTTTCTAATTTCTCCTTCTGTAGCTGTTGTTTTGTTTCATATTGTCTCATTGCTTTAGCCTTTTTGTAAAGCAACATTCAGCAGTTTGACGATCAGCTTTTCAACGAGTTTCTGTTTGCTGTCAGTTGTTAATGATAGAGAAAAGCTACAACAGTAAATATTTTGCTTTTTCTGGTGAGACGATATGAAACAAACCTTCATTCTCTGAGTCATTCACTCCTCTTCATCGCATCAGAGCAACATAAATCTGTTTCTTCTCTTGTTTCAGTGCGGAACAGGCTGAGAGAAATAGTTGGGGCTTCGACAAACTGGAGGTATAAAACTATTTGTGTATGTTTTCCTTTAACCTGATGGATTTTAATGTTATTTTATAAGAATGCTACTTCTTCATGTCTTCAAATGTTGGAGTCTGTTTCCCATGCTTCATTAAGGTTCATCACTAACTGTAGAGCCATGACATCACTGTGACCTTTGCCCTCAGGTGGGATGGCCTTCCCTCTCTATGAGGAGGCAGTGTCATTGCTAAACTTTGTATTTCCAAGGCCCTTCTTGGATTACTGCCCTCTTACATTAGTACCTTACTTACAGAGAAAAGCATGGCTTCTTCTGCTCTTAGATCCAACCATCAGCTGTTGCTCACTGTTCCTTTTTCCCGTACAGAACTAGGGAAGAAACCCTTTAGCTACGCAGCTCCCTGTGCATGGAATTTTTTTTTTTTACAAAGAAACTGGAAGTTGACCTAGTTTTTATATTTAAATGCTTTTAAATTGAAAGTGAAAGAATGTCAAACAGCCTCAATGACCTGTAATTGTTTTACTTGATATGTTTTATATTTTTTTTATGTACCTGTCATTTATTTTAATTTATCTAAGTTTCTTATGTAACTTTGCTGCCTCTTAGCCAGAACTGCGTTGATAAAGAGGTTTTTCTTCTCAATGGGATTTTTTTTCCCTGGTTAAATAACAATTTAAACATGTTCCTTTCAGATGTTCTTTCTCTTTTACCAATTCATCTTTTTTGACTCATTAGTTCTAATTTAATCAATTGAGATTTTTATTTAAGACTTGTTTAAAACTAAAGAGCAGACATGTAATGCAGGTTATGTCATAAAAGGCTGTGAAGGAACACAGACGGCGGCACCATTTAAAGTTCTGAGTTTAAATCCTTTCTGTAGTTCTCTGACTTCCTCCAGCAGTCCTAAAACAGGACCGTTTAGTAAATAAGTCCCTCTAAATTACCTTTATGTGTGAGATGTTATGTACCGACATCCTATTGAGAGTGTCTCACACAATAATTGCTGGAAAAAGGAGAAATTGTAAGGAAAGAAAACTTTAACTTTATTTACATAAATTAGCATGTTTTTTATTATGTTTTATTGTGAAATATGACCTTTAACTAAGAGGTCAAAGTGTGTCTCTAATGAAGGCTGTTCACAGCCCCAGAAAAATAAATAAACCCAGAAAGCATTTAGATCTTAAAGGAATAGTACACCCAAAACATGATTAGCCTTCATTTTCTACTCACCCCCATGCTGAACAACACTCTGGAGTACTTTTTTGATATCTCAAATGCATCTGGAGATCTGGGAGGCTTCTTGCTGTCTGCTGACATTCAAATAATGGAGGTCTATGGTGACCGAGACAGAAAGGTCCATAAAAGTCCACAAAAAACATGTCAATATTCCTCCATACTGCTCGTCCAATGTATTCCAAGTGTCCTGAGTGGGTAGCGTCCAGAATTTACTCGAAACGAAGTCATTTAGAATGTTTTTAGAGCATAAACAGTAGTGTATAGGATTTCCTAAAAGCGCGCACATGCGCGCTCCCGACGCTACGGAAGCCGGCAGACCAAACCAGCGCATTCAGCTCGGCAAAGAACTCATGCTCTTCCTCAACACTGAAGTCTTCAGACATTTTTCTTTCGTTGTTTCTTTCTTTGCACAGGTAAACAGCACATTTCTTCTTCTACGCTTGCATTATTGGCAGAGCAGACGCTGAATGCGCACTTTCATCTGGTTTGGTCTGCCGGTTTCCGTAGTGTCATGAACGCGCCGGCGCGCGCTTTCAGGAAATCCTATACACTACTGTTTATGCTCTAAAAACATTCTAAATGACTTTGTTTCGAGTAAATTCTGGATGCTACCCACTCAGGACACTTGGAATACATTGGACGAGCAGTATGGAGGAATATTGACACGTTTTTTGTGGACTTTTATGGACCTTTCTGCCTCGGTCACCATAGACCTCCATTATTTGAATGTCAGCAGACAGCAAGAAGCCTCCCAGATCTCCAGATGCATTTGAGATATCAAAAAAGTACTCCAGAGTGTTGTTCAGCATGGGGGTGAGTAGAAAATGAAGGCTAATCATGTTTTGGGTGTACTATTCCTTTAAACCTTCACTGGTCGGTTCATTTGGTTGTAGTTGAAAGTTTTGTCCACTAGAGGGCTCTGCATCTCAAGCAGCATGCGTAATATTAAGAAAGTGTGAGTGAAATGAATCCCGGTAAGGAAAAGGAGCCCAGTAAATGCTGGTGTTTTATCCAGGATCTGCTGTAATCACTGATGTTCTTCCGTTGTCTCTCTGCCGTGGACAGCGACCATCAGCAGGCCATGGCAGAGCGTGTGTCTCTGTCATCCATGCTGGCCAAGTCTCAAAGTGAACTTCCTGCTAAGAGGATGAAGGACAGCTTCCTGGAGGTCCACCTTCCTCTGGGCTCAGAGCCGGAGCTCAGGGAGAAGTACCTGACCTACCACAACACGGTCAGGTAACATGGACCTGTTCGCTGGTGGCAGGCTGGTTTTGGGGGCTGTTTTTCTCCACTGACCTGCTCCGTGTTCCTCCTCAGGTTTGGACGGATCCTGGAGGACTTGGACAGTCTGGCAGGTATCAGTCAGAGCAACAAAGATTTCCCTCAGACCTTAGAAGGCCTCAGAAGCTGAAATGTTTCCTCCTCTTCCTCCTCAGTCCTCATTTCCTACTCCCACACATATAACTCTGCTCTGAAGAGGTCTCCTCTGTCCATCGTCACGGCGCTGGTGGATAAGATCGGTATGAGGCTGCAATAAATCACTGTCCCAGCGTCTGGAGGAGGATCCCGTCCAGCTCTGAGCTCTGGTTTTATGTTTCAGACATGAGGCAGCACGTCATCTACCCCGACTGCGACATCAAGTTCACAGGTCAGGTGACCTGGGTCGGGAGGTCGTCCATCGAGGCAAAGATGCACATGTCACAGGTGAACAAAAGCAAGGAAGACGTTTCTCTGGTCTCGATCAGAGTAGCAGTAGTTATGAACTTTTCCAGTCTGAATGCTAAGTAAATCAAATGAACAGAAGGTTATGCAGTTATACAGCAGAAAGTGTCATTTGGTTTCCTCCTGCAGTACCGGGACGGAGCTTATTCCCCCGTTCTGGATGCTACGTTTGTCATGGTGGCTCGGGACCCGGCCAACAAGAGGTACAGACAACTTCCTGAGATGTTCCAAAATAAAAGAAAATTAAAAATAAACCACTGTGCTTTGTTTCCAAGTTTGAAGATATTTTACTTCCCATCTAGGAAGTTTTTTCAATTAAAAATGTCAGCAGTAGCGTTGAGTTCAAGGTTTTATACAGTAGCCCAACAAAGCTTTGTTTTTTATTTGAAAACCTGCAAACTGACACTGAAGAAGGGGTCCACCTATTTGGAATGGGGGTCATTAGCTTCTTTTGTTAGCCTGCAGTGCCCCATACCTGAATATGTCTCTCAAAGGGCATCGATGGCCTGGCTGAATAGGCGAGGTCTCCCGCTCTCCTGTACAGGGGTTGGGGTTGCGATGATGGCGGGAATGACTTTGACCTGGATGACTGAGAATCTTCACTAAATTTCTGCTATAATACATCCTGAGATGCATCATTGTCCTGCTCGGGATGCTTCCTCCTAAACATTGCATCCAAACAGCCCTTTGCTAGTGTGATGTTGCACATATTTACGTTGCCTTCACGGCTGCTCTGGTTTCCTACTGGATTCAGATTCCACTGCAGCTCTTTTATCTGCAGACCACATTAAAGAAGCAACGTCCATCTGTCCAGAGCTGCTGTCCTGCCTGTTTTAGAAGGTTCCCTTGGTTCATCGCAGCTAAACCACATTAACAGAAATTATGCAATGTGGAAGATTTTGGTGCAGCAGCAGCAAAGTGAGAAGCTTTTATAGAAGGGAGATTTACACAAGTAAAAAAGAATGATGATGATGATACTTTTTTATTTCAGACAGACATCTCACCAGCAAAATGTAATAAAATGTTTCTAAATGTAAATTCATTACCTTTCTATCAAATTTACAGACTCAAATACATGTTAATGCATAACTTATTCCATGACTGTGAGTCTGAAAAGGAGTATGATGAAGTTTAAGTTATATAATCATACCCTAATTCCATTTATTATTTCATGCCATAAATATTCATCTTGTTTTCAGTATCCTTTCCAAAAAAAGGGGGGAAAAAAACCCCAAAACAATCCAAAAACTTGTTTTGAAGAAAGAATAAATTACAACAAGGGTTAAAATGTTACCGTTGATACTGTGCAGTTACGGTATTTAGATTAGATTAGATTAGATTCAACTTTATTGTCATTACACACACAGGTACAGGTACAAGGCAATGAAATGCAGTTTTGGTCTAATCAGAGGTGCAATAGCAGCAAGTGCAGGATAAATAATGGTTCCATAAATACAGGAGATGGGTTTCTACTGAACTGAAGTATAGAGATGAATAATATTATAAATAATGAAAATAATATTGAGATAACTAGTGTTATGAACTAAATATACAGCTGGATATGTGCCAAATATAATATACAGGTGGATATTACTATAAAAAGGGTTTGAAACATTGCAGAATGTCCAACTGATGAAGGTCGAATAAAAATGTCTATTTTACAAGTTAGAGCAGCAACAGCTAATTAAAGTAGAGAAGTTGTTAAAAGTGGAGGAAAAAACTGCAAACTAATGTTCTGTTGCCGGGCTACTGCTGAACTTCCTTCCTGATTATCTTTGCTTTGTTTGAGCCCCAGATCCATCTATACCATCCAGCACTGACACGCTTTGCCTTAGGTCACAAGTGTCAAACTCCAGTCTTTGTCTTTTTTTTCTGGACCTTTATCAAATTATTAGGGCAACAGAAAGAATTATACTAGATGTTGAGGAACAAAATTAGCTGTTTATTCAGGTTTGTTAGATAAGAGACGCATCTAAAAGCTTAATGGAACCAGACTTCAAAGACTGGAATTTAGAACCTTAACAGTCTGAGAATCCATCAGAGTGCATAAAATAAAGCATAAAATAAAGTTTTGTTTTCTGTCCTGCAATATGAAGAAAAAAAAAAGATATATTTGGGAAGTTGACAGCGTAGGTTTAGGCAGATCATGGCCTACACGTCTGCTAGGAAAAAAAAGCAGAAAAAAAACAGTAACTCCCAGTGAGACATTAGAACTGTTTCATTAGATCTACATTTCCTTTTAAATCCAGAAGACAACATTATAGTGACTAATAATCCTACAACCGTGCCAAATGAAGCATTAAAAAAATGACACTTAAACTCAATATTTATGCTAACTTTATAGGTGTCTTTGTCCAGTTTTGTTTAGATGTCAAGTTTTTGTCTTTGTTTCTGGACATTTATCAAATAATTATAGCGATAGAAGATCTCTAAAGAATTATACTAGATGTTGATTAATAAAATTAGCTGTTTATTCCGGTTTGTTAGATAAGAGACGCATCTAAAAGCTGAATGGAACCAGACTTCAAAGGCTGGAGATTAATGTTCCTGCTGCTGATTCAAACCATTCAGAACCACATCAGTCTGAGAATCCATCAGAACCCAAATAGAGGCTGTTTCAGGTCAAAGAATGAGGTTTTAGATGGATTTTATTCACCGTAACATGAGACGGGGTATATTTAAAAATACACTCTAATGTTGACTAGGTAGAGATAGATGTAACTGGGAAACTTTAGAGTACAAAGAGGTTTTTAAAAATGCAAACGGAGGCCGATTTCAGTTTGGTTTCAGATAATTCTTTAAACTTACAGATGCTGCAGCAGGACTGCAACCTGGAAATGTCTTTCTTAAGGTGTTGGGAAACTAAAATAGTCCACTCCCTGGTTTCTGTGCAAGTTTTTACTTTTTAATGGAGCTCTGGGTCAGAAGGCTTTGAACTTCTTTCTGACTGAAAGCTCACATTAAACGGCAAAAGCTTCTACAGACAGAAGTAGTGAAAATCCTTTCTTTACCTTGGAAAGATGGAAATCGAAAAATAAACAGATTTATTGTAAATAAATTATTTAAAAATAAGAACAGTGTGATTATTTCACTGTAGTTTGCAGTAACAGAGTTATTAACAGGTAAATGAACACCCCTCCTGCGGGAAGTTCCAGCAAAACGATCTATGTCACTAAATAAATAACCTTCCCACCTGCTTTGGCTGATTTAGTTGTTTCTGCTGCATCTCTCCTCTCTGCAGGGCTGCGTTTGTGAACCCCCTGAAGCCTGAAGGTCCAGAGGAAGAGAAGCTCCTGCAGGAAGGAGAAGGTCTGTCACTTTGATATTTCACAGCTCCAACCCTGCTCCTGCATGTTTAGCTGTTTGCCTCCCCTGAATAAAAGGGTTATTAGCCTGCAGAGGAGGTAAGGCGCTCATTGCGTAGCATCTGAAACATGCAGGACCTCTGTTGGAGAGCCCAGCATCAGATGCCCTTGTTATCTGTTGGAATAATGTCTAAACCTCCTCATTTCTCCAGCGAATAAATCTCGGCGTGTTGAACTCAGCACAGCGTCGCTGCTGAAGGTCGCTCCAGCAGATGAAGAGAGGAGGATCATCCATGATCTGTTTCTTAACACCCTGGACACAAAGTATGAGCAGAGCAGAGCTGCTGTCCTGCAGCTGAATCCAGCCACAGAGTTTTCTTTTCAGGGCTCCTTTAAGCTGTTTGTTTGATTCCATTTGATCAGAGCAGGGAGGCATCTAAAGGCAGCAGGACAGCAGCTCAGCTGACTCCTGGCCTTGCAGCCTTTGCTTTGAACATCTAAAGTTATTTCTGTTGTTATCAGACGTCCTTCATGCAGCTTTATGTCCCCTCCTGTTTCAGCACGGTTAGTTTCCGCAGCAGAATTTTACCTCCAAAGTCTGTCTGGATGGAGGACGCTAAACTGAAAGGACTGGAGATCTGCCACCCTCAGGTGAGACGGAAGAACTGCAGGATGGAGGAAAAAGCTTCACTTTAGCTGTTTTAATTTACGTCCTGGTTGAATAGTACAGAGCTTAAAATTTAGTTAATAACAAAATATAAAAAATTTGAACATTTTCCAGCATGAATCCAGAGCTTTGCCAGAATACTTGCTTTAATTTATAATTTAAAACTGTCTGAGGCATGGTGATGGTAAAACATGCAACTCATGCAGAGGTGGCATGGTGACCACAGACAGAAGACTACTACTCTCTCTCCCCCTCCCTACTTGCTGGTATTTTTGGGCAGTTCCTCCAAACAGTTTAGTTTGCAGGCCGTCTTGCTCTCACTCTTTCCAACCTTGGGCCCCATGTCCTATGTACGGAACCCTAGAGCGGTCATACTCAACTTTTTTTCCCCTTTGCCTTCTTGAGATAACGACATCACTATCTCATTATCACCACGTTTAAACTATTATTTTCTCGAAAGAGAAAACATTTATTGAATCTTGAGATAAGGAGATGATTAACCTTTTATGAGTAATGAATGAGGCAGACCAACAGCCCTGGATTCCCAGTCCATCCATGCCTGCGGGGCCAGTAGTTGTGCAGTCGTAGTACCGTGTGCGCACAAATAATCCGTTTTTTAGTTTCCTTTCTCTTTTTACTCATTGTCAGATCATGGTGGATTATTGGATTTTATGGTATATAGTCGAAACAAATTTGAATGTTTTTGAATGAAAATTTTAAATCTGGACTCTTATTGGGGGTTAATGCATCTTATGCCTGTTACAGGGGTAACACCGGGGCTGTTCAGAAAACAACCGGAGGCATGGGTCTAATTGCTTATGAATCAGAAGTGGAAGAAAATCATCAAACCAACAATGTTGTCTTGTTACCTGAAAGTTAAACACAGGATTATTATTTTATTTATTATATTTATTTATTTATTTTTATGGCACTAGTGGACCGTTTTTTTATGATGGACAGTCTAACAGGAAAGGGGGTATGAGAGAAGGGGAGAGACATGCAGGAAAGGCCCACAGGCTGGATTTGAACCTGGTCGCCCGCATCGAGGACTAAGGCCTCCATACATGGGTCATGTGTGCTAACCACTGCGTCACCAAAGCACGCCTCACACAGGATTATTTATTACAGAATTATACTTAGGCTGCCATGACTTATAAATCCTCTCCCACTGTTGTGGTATTAAAGGATGTAATCAGTTTTAACATATACCAATCATCTCGGTATCACGAAAAAACGGCTTTCGTTATTTTTAGATAAGGTGAAAATGAACTTGTTTTCTCCAGAAAACCACAGTGAAAAAGTATCAGAGGGACATGACCACTCTCAGCTTCCATACCTACAGTACTTGGATCAGGTCTTTGTTTCTGCTCCTTTAAGCCATTGATTCTCTGTGGTATTCTGAAGGTCCTGGTCCTGATAGACCCATCTGTCCCTGGCTTAAACCTCCCGGCTGATATTATGAGATTTTGCTTCTTTATTTCCACATAATGTTCTTTACTCATAATAAAATCAGTTTAGTGAAGTGCATCAGTCCCTCCTGCAATAAAACACCCCCACAGCATGGTGCTGCCACCCTCGTACATCACATTTTCTGGAAGCTTCCTCCCCTTTTTCCTCTAAATGCATCACCAGTCTGGTCATCATGGCCAAACTCTTCATTCTTTCATTCTTCATGTCCAAACTATGAGTTCGTTCTCTCACAGTCCAAATTATAATCTGGTTTGTTTTGTGTTTTTAATGGCTTCTTCCTCCCAGAGTGGCTTTTCAGTTGAAATAGACCTTAAATCTTCTTCTCTCATCATTCTGCATTAGTGAGCAGAAGTAGTCCTAATGGAGATAACATGAACTTGGTGTCCATTGGTAGATTAAACTTTGTGTTGTTTTAAACTGTTTTAAGTGTATTGATGTTATCCCACCTTAGATCAGTTTTAGACCCGATGAAGTTTCTATTTACACCTAAATGTTTGTGTCTTGAGCAGCAGAGAAACATCTTCAACAGGATATTTGGAGGTTTTCTCATGAGGAAAGCCTACGAGCTGGGCTGGGCCAACGCCTGCTCCTTTGGGTGAGATATTTAGATCAGTCTGGTTCTGTTGGGGCGCCAGATCGGTTCTGATTCTGTCCTCTCTGTGCGTTTCAGGGGATGTCGGCCCAGTCTGGTGGCCGTCGATGATATTCTCTTCCAGAAACCCGTGGAGATCGGCTCCCTGCTGATGCTCTCCTCCCAGGTCAGTCACCCATCCTTCAGTTATTGGTGGATTTCCTGTCAGAGGAAAGATCTTCACTGGATTTTATCTGTCTGATCAGGTTGCTTCCTTTTAAAAGCAGAAATAGTTTGATTTATTATCTGAATAGCATGAAGATGAGGACGTCTGCTCCTGTTTTAGTCCAGCTCCCTTTATTTTGTGGACTTTCAGTCAAATAAAACCCATCAAACAGACGCTGTATGTTAAATATTTCGGTGTTCAATGAAAATTATAAAAAAAAAAACAAGAAAAAAAGAAACTTCTGTAACATTTCTGTCACCTTATTTCCAACTAGGCCTTTACAGTAAAGCTCTAGTGTTTAGATATATGAACAAAACAACAATATCAGTATTTTTAATCTGCATTGCAATAAACCATCTATGCATCAATATTTATTTTTCCATAAAATAGGTAAAATAGAAATAAACCTCATGTTTCAAACGTGAATATTTATCTGAATATTTAATACTGAGAGTGTGGAGTTAGCTGAGTTTTCTTTTTCTTTTTTTTACCTACTAATTATGATGATTCAAGATCAAATACCAATACCGCAGTACCAATTGTGTGCATATACATTTGCAATAACATACTTTAACTGTAATATGCAAATACTTTCCACTGCACTTTAATTTAGATAGCTTCTGTCCAAACTTTATTCATTTTATTGTAAAACCCATTTTTATATTATGCTATTGTACATAACTGTAAAAACCTTTTCTATAGTAATATCCACCTGTATATTATATTTGGTACATATCCAGCTGTAAATTTAGTTCATAACACTAGTGATCTATATATTACATTCCTTATTTATAATAGTATTCATCTCTATATTTATTCATTAGAAACCCATGTCCTCTATTTATAGAACCATTATCTATCCTGCACTTGCTGCTATTGCACTTCTGGTTAGAACTAAACTGCATTTAGTTGCCTTGTACCTGTACCTGTGTAATGACGATAAAGTTGAATCTATCTTTCTATCTAGCTAGCTCGCTCGCTCGCTCGCTATACCTGTATAAAGAAAGTTTTGTTTTATTATTTTCTTCTAATGTTCCTGTTAAATGTGTGATGATAAATATATTTTTATCAAACAGCCCCACAGGTCCCTATGCTTTCTAATTTAGTGACATAAAACCCAGGGTTTGCCTAAATCAGTGCTCAGAAGGAGTTTTGTAAAATGTGTTTCTATTTCCGTGTTCCAGGTGTGTTACACCCAGGGGAAGTACATCCAGGTCAGAGTTCACAGTGAGGTGTTTGACCCGCTGACTCAGCAGCACAACACCACCAACATCTTTCACTACACCTTCGCTTCGGACCGGGACGTCCCGAGCATCGTTCCCAGGACGTACGGAGGTTAGCCTGACGTTTCCCTCCTGTGTCCTAACTCCTCCCTCTGCTCTATTTCTGAGCTCCTACTCCTCAGCATTTGGGCTCCATCGCCTTCTTTAATGAGAGTTTGTTTTGTTTCAGAGTCGATGCTCTACCTGGACGGGAAAAGACACTTTAACCAAACCGTGGAGTCCTGAGAGGTCAGAGGAGCAAACCACAGCTATATGAGACCACAAAGCGCTTCAGATACTTTAAGCTGCTTTTCTACCAAAGTTTATCTGCTGTGGATATTTAAGCTTTATTCATGTATTCCTTTTAAAACAATAAAGCCTTTACATGCAGCTTCTAAGCAGTCACACAATTCCCAACCTACTACTATATATATATATATGTATATATATATATATATATATATATATATATATATATATATATATATATATAGGAGGATATAGTCCTTCCCATTTGTTAACAGAAGATTTAGTTTTTTGTTACAACACATTTGTATTTTAATTGTTTGTTTAATTTCAGTTTAAATCCTTGTTTATTGAGGGTTTATTGTGATTAAAAGTTCAATAGATTACTAAAACAATCGATATCTGAGGCTCTATTATATATATACATATATAAAGAACAAGAGCTGAGTGATGACCATAACAGTAAAGTACGGTTAAACTGACAGATATGCACAGACTGTTACTTTTTGTTTCTGCATGTGTTGGGTTGACATTTAATGCAATAAATACGTTTTATATTTACCTCATTAACAGTCCCACCTGTGTCTTTAATGCTATTTCAAACCCAACATCCTGTCAGGTTTCCTTCCTTCTTAAAGTGAATAAGTTTTGATCCAGTTCTCATTTAGTTTAGTTACGTTTTTAATGAGGGTTTCTTTTATTCCTTACATTCCTCTCCATCAGTGTTTGTGGAGAGTTTTCTGTGGACTTTGGCTGCTCTTTAGATCCATCATTAAACCATACTTGGGTGGTTTGTTACCTGCCTCATGTCACAAAAGCAATTTGCTCTAAATGATTTCATTTAATGCATAAATAGATACCAACTAGGTCAGTCTGCCACAAAAAAAATCAGATTTCTGATCTGATCAGAGGTCTGTGGGGTGACAGAGAGGAGATGCATCTCTGAGGCACTGTGTGGTTTGGATGGATCCTTTATTGTTTTTTAGACATGATGGAAACTATCTGCTGATAACATCATTAATGTTATTTCTGTCTTTGTTTCCTCTCAGTTTTAAAGGACAAATTAGGAGATTTGCCATTTTGTGAGAAAGAATGCAAAGCAATTTTATGTATATAGCACAATTTAGTACAAGGAGAATTAAAAGAGTTTTACATGGATTAGATAATAAAATAGAAGAAAAATAAAATCAAAAACATTTGCAAAACAAATAAATCAATTGGAGCACAACAAATGATATAGAAGAAAGATAAAAAAAAAGAACATATTAAAAAAGTAAAGCAGCTGGATCACAACCTTAAACTAAAATCAGTCAGCAGTTTAACTTCAACAGTCAAAGGCAGCTTTAACTTCAAAGAACTCATTGAATAAAAAAAACATAGAAATTCCTGCAAGACGTCTGAAAAAGTATTGATTGAGACTTTAATCCTAAAAATACAATGGAAAAAAATTCAAAGAATTTAGCAGAGGGACTGCACTGTTAGGCTTTGCTATAACTTAGCACATACTGATAGAGGGTGTTTGGTTTTTAAGATTGGAGATATTTAACATTTTAAAATATCAATTAAAAACTAATTTTGTTTTTACATTTGATATTTATGCAGTGCATTTACTTTTATTTTTATCTTTATTTTCTGTGTTATGTGTTACCTGATCAATATACAAGAAGGCTGTAACAGTATTGTGACATTGACGTACTACTACTAGCACTACTGCTGTCTAATCTAAATTACTTTAATCTGAGGAGAAATTCTTAATGTTACAAAAAAAAAACATACTTGATAAAAGTTTAAAATCAGTGGAAGGCAGAGGTTTAGAAAACTTTTCTTTTAATTTAGCCTGTTGGAAGTTGGCATTACAGCATTTGACTAATGGAGGAACTTTTCACTTGTGTCTAAGTGATGAAAAGCTCCTATAGTTGGATGGTTTGGAGAGAAGCCAACATTTTCCTCTTCATCATCCTAAACATGGTGATAGACGGGAAATCGATGTTTATTCATGTTGGCAATGCAACAGTGAGCCACCAAGCAGTCCTACTACGACTGTAGTTTTCTATTTGTGGTGAGCCATAACTGCTTGTAGCAAAGAGGCCATAGATCTTCTTTAAATGGGGAGTGGTGGGATAGTGATTAGGGCAGGGGGCTTGGAATCATGAGGTTGTGAGTTCAAAACCCACTCCCACAGACTGCCACTCTGACTCTCTGAGCAAGGCCCTTAACCCCTGATTGCTCCCAGGTGCCGCAGGATGCCAGCCCACTGCTCAAACTCAATAAAGTTCAATTAGAATTCAAAGTATCAATTTATAATAAAAGGATCTGAAATCTTTCACACATCCTCCCAGATGTGTCTGAAGTTAGTGTTTGGTCATTCAGAGGGATGGATGCATGGTGTGGGTCCAGTAAGCCCAGCTGTGACAGTTACCACAGCGCCCTCTGCTGGGCATGTTATGGGATGACTTCATCATGGGGATTTTCGTGTGAAGCTTTTCTGAGGAGTTTAACAAGTCATTATTTTAACCCTGAATGCTTTCAAAATAAAATACTCCTGGTTCATCAGCTTTAAAATTAAAAATAGATGTGTACTAAGAATGAAGTAGAGCTCAAATATAACCTTGCTGTCCTCCTAAAGAGTGTAAAAGTTTAATGAATGAAATATTAACTATTTAGAGATAGTGTTGTTGTTGAAAGTCGATCTGTGTTAATCGTAGCTGATATTATCGTTGCTGCAGCTTGTTTTTGTGATTCTTTTTTATTTTTAAACAGAAAGCCGCTTTATTGAGTTCATCTGAGTTCTTGAGGTAGAGTCTGATAACTTGATGAGCAGTAAGGAGATATAGCAAATAGATGTGTGACAATGGTCTCTGGTAATAGTCTAATCAATCAAGTTTCGTTTAATTCAATCATAAAAAATCACCAATAAACATAATGCATTTTTATTATATATTATATTATACATATTATAAATAATAGATATTATATATAATGTTTTTTGTCATTCTGTAGAAATGACAAAAAAATCGTGCCTTTTCCCAGCCAGATGTGATGAGCATACCTCCAGCTGTTTCTACTGTAGGACCTCTGCCCTGGATCAACAGTGGAGGCAAATGTGGATATTTCATGAGAAACCGTTGATTACAAAATGCACAGGATTGACCCTACTAACATGATTAAATATAGGATACTGACAACAAATCTAATATTTTTCTGCACATTTCTTATTCATAAATGGAAGTTCTCATCATCCTTATATTTTATTTCCAACAGTGGTTTAAGAATTTCAGTTATATCTATTCATGATTTACAAAAGTACAAAGAAAAAAATATAAATGGATATGAGTTCTTTAAAATCAATAAAATTATTTTGATTAAGGTAATTTTTTTCTCCCTTGAATGTCTAAAAGTAGATACCCAGCCCCCTGATATACCTCATTATATGTTCTGCTTCTTGTTCTATGCTTATTTTTGTAAACACAAATGTTTACCATTTAAGAAAATAAGAGTGAAATTATAAAATGATAAAAGTTGGAATCTTTTTTTAAAAGTTTTATATATAATGTTGTATCATTTGATTTCTCAGCAGACTGATAAACATATTTATCCATGCTTTGAATAATGACACATTGGTTCTGCTAATTATCTCTGACCTAGTTTAAACCTCTGATTGAGAAAGTCTTGTTTTAGTCATTCGTTGTATTTAATTTTGAGAAGTAGATTTTTAATACTACCACACTCTACAATGCCACACTACAATGGCTAGTTTATTATTTAATACCCTGTGCAATAAGTACATATATAAATATCCATCTATATAAATACCCATGTAAATACCCTGTATAATAATCCTGCTTAAAAAAACTATTTTAGCTGATGTAATTCAATTATAATTTATTTCTCCACTGTGAGATCAATAAAGTAAATCAATCAACACACTGAGAACCTTTTTCCTTTTCTTTTTTTTTGTTTTGTGCGCGACACGGAACTCTTATTTAAAAGCAGCATTTTCCGTAGGGACACAAGCAGCGGACGGACCTCAGCGGCTAGCAGCCGTCATTAATCCTCTCAGCAGTCACTGTGCCCTTCAGTAGCATGAAAACCATGTTGGCGATCATTTCTAACGCACTGTGCAGGATCACCGGGAAAAATGCGGTGAGTGGGTCGATCCGAACTCAGAGGTTCTGGACGGAACCGGTTCATGCTAGCAGTTAGCTAACCTTTTAGCAGCAGCAGCAGCTAATTGTCTGTTTTTCCTGTAGTTATGTAACCTTATTTCTGTTTGGATAACATTCTCTCAACACGTGTGTTAATTATTTAATTTTAGGGTATATTTAGAGGTTCTTTGGTCTGATTTAAGTTTTTATTTTTGTCTGTAATGTGAATTATTTTCTGTTTAATAAGGGTTTACCTGAACCTATCAGCACCGGTGTTATGCCCAAAAGTGCATGCCTGCCGAAATATGCATCCCCAGTCGCGGGAGCGCGCCTCGCTCTGTTGAACTGCATATCGACGAGGAAAACGGATTAAAATATGTTCAATGGAGCTTAGGTTCTTATATTAACGATATAAAAACGTTTAAAAATACCTCTCGTGGGAAAAAAAACTTGTGGTTATTTCGCAGATTAATTTACAAAAGTACGGATTTTTTTGAACAACATTAAATCCAAAGATTTTGACCATGGTACGGCTGATTTATTTGTTGTGGTCTCTTGCTATTTACACACAACACTAAACCGTGATAGCCGAAGTGAGTTTTGAGTTTGCAAAGCTTTCTCTTAAGTGGAAAATCAAACGCGCACCTACAAAGCACAGCGTTCACAAACCAGTGAGATGCGTTCGCTGCGCGTCATTCAGCTATGGTGCATTCAGGAGCATTGGAACATTTTAAACTTACAAGAATGAGGCATAAAACAGAACTGTATTTTTACTGAACTGTATTGTATTTTTTTTTGTTTGTTTATGCACATCTGCTAGCTTTTTATTCTAAAAAATCTATAATATTACAGCAGCAATTTATCAATGTTTTTCAAAATCCTGTTTAAAAGCTCCAAATGGGGCTTCAGATCATATGAAGCAACAATTGCACTGTCATTGTTTTACAGGGCAGTATTTGCATTTGCTGATCCTTGTACTTAATTACTGATGAATATACAGGAATACAGATGTACAAGTGTCAACTCCTCTGAGATAGCAGGGGATGGAATTTTTGGCAAGGACCTGCCAAAAAATGCATCCCCCTTGTTTTTAACTTAAAAATTGTCCCACACACATGAAATTCACACTGGTAGCTCAGCACACATGTGGAAGCAGGTAGAATTTGTCACATCAGCTACAAGTGTATATTTCTGGAAAAAAGCAGGGGATGCAATATTTGGCAAAGACCTGCCAAAAAATGCATCCCCCTTGTTTTTAACCTAAGGACCTGCCAAAAAATGCATCCCCCTTGTTTTTAACTTAAAGATTGTCCCACACACATGAAATTCACACTGGTAGCTCAGCACACATGTGGAAGCAGGTAGAAATTGAAACATCAGCTACAAATCTATATTTCTGAAAAAAAGCAGGGGATGCAATTTTTG